AGTTTATAAGGTTTATTTCGTGACATTTAATGAAGTTTGAACTAAATCAGCGCAATACTTATAGAGATTTAGCTCATAAGGTATCAGTCATTAGAATATTCTTGGAGGCCATCTTGAATTACCTCATTTATTGAAATAAAAACATTAAATTCACTTAAGTTGATGAGAGAAGCATATCCATAAAGTTTAAAATAAACTGTCTCTATAGAATTCGAGTTAAAAGCTCATAATGTGCCAGTCACGCCGGGGACACGGCTTACAACTGTTTGGGAAATTCCCATGTACGTGCCGCTCGTGTTAATGACAGAATCGCATAAGACGCTGAAATCGGCAACACTCAACATGCATAACACATCCAGCTCTGCTGCTTGTCGCACTTTTTTTCAGTTTTGAAATCCATCTCCTACACTGCTGAGGTTGTCACCGTCCTAATGAGATCTGTGAAAACAACAATGGAAGTGTTCTGTTACCGCTGTCTGACAGGAATAGTCCCGTATGGCTGAGTGGGCCGACACTGTGTTATCACTGGTGGTACAATGTATGTCATTAATTGACGATTGTTCTAAAGTATGTCGTTGGGATGTACAGATACCATTCAATGCCATGTGATCTCATCATTAATACATCCCACACTATATATACTGTTTAACTTCCCACTTGTGAACAGTCTTTATAATCCCATCAATGTCATGTGTTATAATAGTATTACTGTTATGACATAATTGTTTTAAGTCCTTTTTAAGGATCAGTGTGCCAGCAAGCTAAACTAAATTATTATCCCTGTCACTGTTGTGAAATATTCGTTTAGGACCTTTTCAAAAGGAATATTTCACACACAAAATTATTTTGGTTACTTCATATTTCCAATTCCATGTAGTCGGGAGCATACTCCAAGTCAAAAACAGTCTACGGGACAAAGAACACCGACAGAAGAATAGTGAAAAGCTCCGTTGGTGGCTGAACCTACTATATATAAAGGATACTACGCTCTCAGTGGTAGACCTCTTCGAGATCATAACTGGCCCAACGATACCTTTACATTTTAACTGTGCATATACATTGTAATAGCACAAAGCAATTATATCAGAAGGATATATGGGAAACCTAGTTTAGTTTATACAGCCAGACCGAAGAAAGGGCAATCACCTTATTTTGAGATTAAAATTGATCATGAGGACGGCTCAGCTGATGTTTCCCCTTGCGCTGTTCATAAAAACAGCTCAGCTAACATCTCCCCTTGTCTCTGTTCATTGATTTACCTTTGAAATGTACCAGACATCCTTTGATTTCTGTTATTGTAACAGTGCCGTTTTATCCGTGTTCGTGCCGTTCTGTTTTTGCAATCGTTCCCCATGCTTTTTGCTGCCTTTCGTTTTTCTATCCACATGCTGTCAGTACCTGTTTTATATGGTGCATTTCTTCATCCATGCGTTCCTTGTCAATTACGATGTGTATGTATACATCCAGAAGCATGCATGCTACCTTTTTAATGCGATGGGTAGTGTGACTTGATGTTGAGATGTTTAGGTCTCTTTATTTCTGTTCACCAGCTACTCGATGGGACCGCCATGTCTTCTAGGTGTCTTTGTGACCAAATGTGTCCAGGAAAACCCTCTTTTTCAGACGTAAAATTCATGGAGTCCATATCCTCAACTTAGTTTGGATGAGTTAATAACTTGTTTTCCTTAACTTTCTTAATTACTTTTAAGAAATCGTTTGTGTATTTTCAACAGTTCTGGACGGTACGTCATTTGGTCAGTTTGAATATGTCTTTTCGCTCCCGAAGTTCAATAAAACGTAAGAAACAAAGTTGAGAGTGGACTCTCCACATTTGTAAATTCTACGCCTGACCGAGAAACATGTGGCGTTGAGTATAAACAACGAAAGAGTTGTCAACAGTAAGGCTTGTTCCTTTCTTCAGGGTCTCTCTTATCAATCTCCCTCCCTTTTGATGATCCTGACCACTCCATCAATTGTTGTGTTGGTAAAGAGTGGCAATACGCCATGTGAGTTTAAATGTCATCCTCTTCAAGATGATGTCAGCCAGATCCGAATCGCGATCTTTCGAGTTTTTTCACATGATTGATGTTCTATTTTTCCAACCAGTGAACAGCCTAGGATGTCTGCCAGCCATTATGAATTAATGTACCTCATGGAACCAGTGTATTCCACAACAGGTCGTACTTCCTAACCTGCTTTGTGGATCGTATGTGTACAATATACAGAGAGTGTTGTCTGGTATAGGGTAGGCCTGTTTATTATGGCCTGTTCTTCAATGCTATTACCCACATTCTTTGTGATAACGATGACCAGTGTGTGTATTTACGGCATCTCATAGGTTTTGCATAGCGATGGTGGATGTTTATTTTCCAATTTATGTATCATTTAACAACATTTAACACCGAAAAATGCCGAAATGAAGATATGTAGGCTATGAGAATTATTATTTGCTCTTCAAGTAAATAGAAATAAACAGACAGTTTCCTCAAACAAACTCTTAGCTACAGGTACAATGTATTGATACCTATGTGTATATTTCCTTTACATCCTTAGTGTTTGTCTGTCGTACTTTATTACGATATGTCTACACCCAAAGTATTTTTCACCCAATAGGTTTTGTTAAAATACATTTACATTGTAAGTAACTATAAGCTACATTGCATTCCTATAATGTATTTACATCCTAGCTAATTGTCAGCTATCTAGTCCGAAATGACTGACCATCTCCAATTTTATCGGCGCAGTGGCATAGATTAATAAAATATATTACCTGAAACTGAGCGAGAACGAGTTATCTCAGTCGAGGGCTCAGATTCTGTAACACAATCCCAACCGAGGCGCAAGCTGAGGTTGGGATGTTACAGAATCTGAGCCCTAGACTGAGATAACCCGATCTTACTCAGTGACAAGTAAAAAAGAAATATCGCACCTTTTCGTTCGAAGAAGCTATTCAATTTTGCTAAAGACTACAAGTATCCCTTCTGGGGCTTCAAATAAAAATGGCATCTACACTTCTAAAGATGAGTTTGAATGCTACTGCGTAAACATGTATTGACCTCCCTTACAAAGTAGACGACGCATTTCACCGTGTAGATTATATTTTATCTCCAACATCAAAACATTACATATAACGACAAAACAGAATGATTGTCAATTTCAAGCCCTTTATGCGCGGACGAATACATCGCAGTGTAAAATTCCGCGAAAAGTCACGTAAAGGTACCAGACAGATCGGACGAGATAGAAAAATCTAGAATTGGCGTATAACGTGAGATATCTCTGTCTGAGGTGCGAGGAAAGTAGATGACTTCTTCATCAGTGTATGGAAAGTATGTGGACATGCTCCGGTAATCGAATGAAATGTACACCACACCCAGTGCACAGTGGGGGGTTTTCATAGAGACGTTATAGGTGGCGTTCTGCCTATCTCCGTTTAATCCAAAAACATTTAAAATAAGATAGTCCGCTTTTTCAGATTATCGGCTATAGTGCATTGCTACATTGTATGATACATTCATATCCAAGATAAGTGTCTGCTATAGTACATTGCCATCATGCATTGAAACCCAATGTAAATGTCAGCCACACTGCATTGCTACATTTTGAATAAGACATTTGAACCCTATGTATGTGCCACACATCATAATACATTACCGCGGTTATTGTAAGTTTTACTGAACTGCACATTTCGTGCACTAATTTTAGTTTTATAACCTGCTTCACATTAGGAGTAAGATCATTAATAGCTTAAACCAAATAAGTATCAGTAGATCATTTGTTTCAGTATTTTCAGTACCCCCAAAAACTTCCCAGATGTTGTCATGCATTTGAAACCATGCGTCTACAAAACTAGTATTATTGATATTAGGGGTAGACTATTTAAAGGGAACCAAACAAAATATGTCTATTGAACTTTATAGGACTGACCAAATAACTCTAGAATGATTAAATATTTGAGTTTAACGTACATCAATACGACTGAATCGAAGTATACATATTGAGTTCGTTACATTCCTGATAGAATTAATCCTCTAACATTGCTATATATATATAGTAATTCTTACAATGTGTATAACAGACTGAATTCGAGTATTTATCGGTTTTTCACTGACATACACATACGGCCCACTTTATGACAACTCGAGTATTTTATTTGTAATGTTTACATCTTACACATGTATGTACACTGACCTAATTACACATCGAGAGGTACATTTACTCATTTACTATGTATGTACATGTATATACTTTATATATGATCCCCTAATTACACCCGGCCGGATACTACAGTTGCAATGAGAGGATACATAAATGAATATATAATTGTATGACAAAGCAATAGGGTATTACGCGTTGAGTATTACTAATTGTAAACATTGAAATTGAAATTCATATATACCATTGACCTAATTATAACTAATACTGCTTAATGTTAACATCTTAATAAATACACATACAAACTTGATCTAATTATAATAAGTACTTCAGTAAATGTAAACATTGATATTACAATACACATACGCGATTGACCTAATTATAACGAGAACTGCTAAGTGTTAACAATTGAAATATCAATACATATGTACATGTATATATGACATAATAATAAAGATACCTGTTAAAAATACTGCTAAATGCTAACATTAAGATTATCATACACATACACGATTGACCTAAATATGACGAGTACTACTAAACGGTAACATTGAGATTGTGATACATAAACACGGTTGACCTAAGTATAAGGAGTACTGCTTTATATACGATTGACCTAATTATAAGAAGTACTGCTAGCTGACATTGAGATTGGAATATATATATCTGATTGACATATAGCTATGTGTTGTTAACCTTAGTACGCCAATATAATACTCAACCGTGCTAGGAATTAATTAAGCTAATACCAAATAGTGATAAGTCGGAGGCAGAACAAAAGTACTATCTTAACCTTGGCTAATTATGTATATACGTATTTATCGTTATCTGATGAAGTATCTTACCTCAATACAAAGCCCCACCAGGAGGGCATTCCGCTCGCGCTGTTTCCTTACGTGCGGCATGGCCCCGCCCTGATGAGGTGGGAGTGGTCAGCGAGCTATTTACATCACTCTTGACCAGTGGTCAGTTTGGGAACTTGACAGTTTGAGCATTCTTCTATTACTTTGTCCGAACTCTATAGATCATTGCATTGATGCATATGGTTACATACTGATCATTAGATACAGTTGGACCACACAAGTTTTTCAAATGTTCCACGCCGGAAGTGAAGATCCTGGTCAAACGTAGAGTGCTCGACCTCTGGTGCCACAGCTGACCAGGTATTGTCTTTTAATAACTGACCACAGGTGGAACTTATTAGCCTTATACCCACATCTTATTAGGCAAACGTCCAAACCAACTGACCACTATAACCAAGAGTCTGTTACTTGATGACCAGTGCTATTATACCCCAGCTGACCAGCAGGCGTCTGAGCAGTTCTACTGTACAACCCGGCGATCGCCGCCGTCTATCAAATATATCTCCGCTGTCTCCGCTGTCTGTATACCCTACAAAACGCATCGACCGTTTGCCGATAACTATCTCAACTTCACGCACCACAGGAAATCGCCAGGAGACGAAGTTTTATATATAATTAAAGTAATTAATACTAATTACATTTCATGCAAATTACTGTCGCGTGTAGCCGCCAATCACAGACCGGCAGTATTTATCTATCGCTCTCTCTAGCGAACCGCAAGCAAAACTCATGTTGGGAAAATTATCACCAACAAAGTCGGACTTTAAGTGTGACGTGAATAACCAGTGATTCCACGTGACGCGACCCTGCTATCGACCTTGGCCAGATTGATGACCACAAAAAAAAACTAGGCCACTTTCTGCAGACGGTGCCGAATAGGAACAAATATTTCGCATCGATTTTGGTAACTAACCACCTGTTAAAAATCAGCATAGTCTCTTCCACGTACCTCCAGAAATCATTCTAATCGTCTCCTCGGTAACCGGGCACTATATAATCACATACAAATGAAGTTTTTACGATTTTTGAAGATTCGAATCTCGAGAAATCCAATAACAGGGTTCGTAAAACTGTTATCATGAAATCGTGAGTTAAAATCAATGACAGCGTTGGTGCCTTTGGTGGCAAATGACGGGTAATAACCAGTCTTATCGCGCAGAACGGGTACGACGTATTATAACAAGTCGTGTACATTTGTCTGTAGACACGGGCCAAGAGGTTTTATTCTATTTCATTTAGTTTGTTTTTAATTTTTCAATTTTCTAGCTGATTAACCTGATGATTTAAAATTTGTAATTATACTGTATTTAAACTATAGAAAAAAGTTCAATTTTATATGAATGAATATAATCGTCGATAGAATCGTCTTTTGATAGAAAGGAAAATTACGCGTTTCCAAATTGAGTTCAGTATGTTTAAAAGCTTACAAAGTCTTCCTTTGGTAAACGTTTACATTCAGTTCAATTGAGAGTTACGTGACACTTTACAGTTTTGAGTTCTATGTCCGTGTACGTGTCGCCATGACGTGTGCAAGAGCGTACGTGACCGTCTAAATACGATAACGTCAAGTCAGCATCGATCGGCGGCCATGCAGAGTACACGGCTCTTCACAAACGTCTCCCTCCGGGGGATCCGCCTCAGTCCCGAAACGTCACCATCACTCGTCTGGTGACGCGTCATTTTGTGCTACCATTCTCTAAAGAACAAACGTTTGTTAGAGGGCGACTTATCAACTGGGCAGCACACATATTCGGCTATATTCGGCTTCACAACACCGTTGAGCCAGACCACAAGTATACTCGTGCAGGAAAGCCAGCCATCAGTAGTCCTTAAACGCTTGAATCAATTGGCACAGTCAAAATTAAGGGATTCAGTGTTACAACACAACATGCACTGTACTTCTGCCACTCACAGTGATATTAGTGTCAATACTATGTCAATCACTTCACAAGATTTTCACATAACTCTGTGTAATTTCATGTATCGACATTCAGGATTTGTAGCACATATATATAAGCTTATTTGATAATCTTGTGATCATCCACAATCCATTGTAGCACATATAACAGTGTACATTGTAGCTAATCCGATACTTGAGTGGTCAACCACGATCCTTTGTTACCTTTCTCTTCTCCACCTTACATTGTCATACCTGAAGTTCTCTCCTGTACAGTTCGTCATCTTTAACCTGTGTACGGCTTGTTATTGATACTTTTTGCGTATAATCATCCACAATTCCTTATATCATACAGTATACAGTTGTCTTATCAGTTAATTGACAACCAAAATGTTTTCCCCTGGACTTAAGATCCACCAGATGAAGTGTTTCCCGAGGCCACACTTCACCAACATGACCAATGAAAAACAAACATTAAAGTAAGTAAAAAAATCAACATTAACACCTAACAATACATTACAACATTAACACTTAACAATACATTACGATGGACATTCTCGCGTATCGCAGTATACACAACTTTATAATGATTTTAGTGTTAACCGAGTCATGGTTTTCAGTTAACTGCAACAACGCTTCGTTGTTAATATCTTCATAGTCTTCGGCATAGTCAGCAGAATGTTTGAAAATTATAGTTTCGTTCGATTACATCGTACGTGACCTGTCTTTTAAAGTTATTTTTAATTTTCACTGTACGTAAATTGTGTTCTCCTTGCGCAAACCTGATCTCCGTTTTCTCAAAAAACATGCGTCATTTTAGTGTTACAAAGTTTTTTCTCAGGCACTGTTCCACTTTTGCATGTTCATAAGAGTTCTAATGAAATCAGGGAGGCACAGATGTTCACACTTTGATTTGTAACAACTAAGACTAATGTCAACAACGCTCTTCCTCTGCTCTGTTTTCCTGGTTTCTATCATACGTGTGGCACTATCGTATTATTTCAAATTGGGTTATTACGTATAAGACTCTTATATTACTGGACAGCTACAGCTTGCATACTACTACTTGTTTTATCTATATGAGAATGTCCGTGCAATTATTACACGTGACCTACTATAGCGAATGTCCGTTAAATCAAACATGACCTACTATAAAAATGTTCGTGAAGTCACACGTGATCTTCTGTAAAGAATGTCAGCTAAGTCACACTTGATCTATATAGCGAATGTCCTTGAAGTCACGCAGGGGCGGGTCCAGGTGAGGGCGTAATTGGCGTACCCCCCCC